CAACACCGGCTTAATCGCTTGCTATTAGCAGCAGCGCCAAAGATGGGTGCCTTCTCGCCTCTCCCTTGTCCTGCCGTGTGTCTTTGCTGCAGGGGACCGATTCTAACGAGTCCTGCTCGGTTTTAATTAGCGACCTTCTTAAGTCCAGCTGTTCGCCGGGCGTGCAGCAACTTGCAGTAGGCGAAGGGCAGCAGTGGGAACGGGCTGGCTGCTCTTTAGTTAAATAAGCAGTTGCATCTCGTACGTGTAACAAGACCAGGTATTTATCCTGTAATATTTAATAGGCGTCCAGCTGTTGCTATGCGTCAGAAGCCTTGGGTCATCTCTTTTTCTGGGGGTAAGGTAATAATCTAGGCTTCACAACGTGCCAAATATTCTCCAGCTTCAGCGCTGTGTCAGCTGTCGGTTTTACAGGATGCTAAAGCTCATCTGCCACGTTTGCCGTGGGTGGGAAGGTGAGAAGATTTGTAGCGCTCGCTCCCATCAGCTGCTGGATGCTGTAGGCTAGGGACGCAGTAAGCGTAGACGCCTTTGCTCCATGTTTCCTGCACCAGCCATGGTGGCCGCTGATCAGAACGTAATTTTAAGAGATGACTTTTATCAGTCTGTGCTGTCACAGTGCTGTGAAGATGCCCCTTCAGCAAGGGAGAATAAATCTCAGTAATTCCAGTGTACAACAGCAGTTACTATCGGTCTTCAAGGAATTCTTGGGTGGGATATGCAAGTGTTGCACGCCTGTTCAGATCCAGAGCGTAAGTAAATTTTGCTTAGCGCTTACCACAGGTGTGACAACTCTCATATATTTGTTGGAGAGATACACACACACACACACAGAATATGCATATATTCTGTCTGACTTAACAACAGTAAGTTCCCTGGTGTCCTGGGCAGTAAAACCCTGGAGAACGCTGTTAAAAATGGATCCAGTGGCCTGCCATCAGGTTTTGTCTGCATTATGTATTCAGCCCAAAAGAATTGGGGTTGATAAGGAAATGCTTTTTTACTGTGAGGGTGACCAAGCACTGTTACCAGGTTGTCCAGAGAGGTTGTGGAGTGTCCATCCTTGGAGATATTCTAAAGCCACCTGGACGTTGCCCGGGGCAGCCTGCTGTGGGTGGCCCTGCTTGAGCGGGGAGGTTGGACAGGGTGACCTGTGGAGGTCCCTGCCAACCTCAACTGTTCTGTGCTGCTGTGAAAATAACTTTGAGCTGCTTTGGTGTGAAATGACACGTGGCTGCTCTTGTGTGACTCCCTTTAACTAAAAAGTTCCTAGGAAGTCAATTGAATAAACCTCCAACTTTTATTTGAAAATAGTTGTCGAAATATTTTTGCACAGAACAGCAAGCGGTTATTTGAAAAGAGGACTTTGTGTGTAGACAGCCTCAGAGGGATGAAGACGTCGGTGTCTGCATGGAGCACAATTAACCGGGGTAACTAAAAGCAGAATTGTTTTGTGTCTAGATCTGCATGACACACCTCTTGCTCCAGCATAGGCAGGTAATTCTGCCATTTTATTTTTTTGATTGGCATTACAGTTGTATTTTTAAAATATGATTGATGAAATGTTTCGACTGAGTTTTATTTTCTTAAAGTCAAAAAGTTCAGGAATGTTACTTCAGGCATAGTTTGAAAATACGGTATCTAGGCTTAACAGATGTTAATTTTAAAAAATGTGAATGCATCTGAACATTGCATATGCACGTCTGTTCCTCCAAATCTGTTAGAGAAATGTACGCACATCCTTCTCTGTGCTTCATATACAGAAAAATTATTTTGTGTTTATAAGTCACCAGGATGTAAAAGGCTTGGAAACCTTCCTGGAACATAAAATGAAGCGCCACAAGTGCACAACGGGAATGGGCTATTATATTTGTATTGATGTTATGTGACCTTGCAGGGCCTTTAGCCAGGCTGTGTTCATGATATGTTAGGATCATGCGTATCTGGTTGATTTGCATTGTTTTCTGCTGGAATTGAAAAGATGATTTACAGCGATGATTATTGGTAGTTTTCGATGATTATTGGTAGTTTTCTTACTTTGGGAATTTACTTCCCTTTTACGTTGGTGCTACAGAATCCTTTCGTTTGTATACAGTTAACTTTTGCTGTATTCATTAGCTTACGTTTGCTTTATCTCTTCAAACAGTATAAATCGTCATTGACAAATGGCGCACAGAAGTAAATTCCAGTAAGACTGTTATGTTGTGCTATCCCAGTAGGACTGTTACGTTGTGCTATCCCTAATACATTAAGAGTAATTTGCGTGTAGATCCACAGGATCCAAAAGGACGCCGTTGGGGATTTATGGTTTTGAGGAATGTAAGAAAATGCTTTTTCAGGTCTCTTGGTATGCTAAAAACTTCGACTTTCTGGAATTTAGCAAGGAAGTATTCAGAATGTAAAATATGTTTTTATCAAAACCAATCTCTTGATGAATTCAAATAAACTAATTACAGCATATCTTTCTCACCTTACATATCTATTTACAAAGACTAGCGTTACAGATAGAAATCCGTAATTTACTTGTTAATCTCTTCTCGTCTGGTTTGCTCACCAAGCTTGCTATAAAAATATATTTATATATTCTAAGCTTGTACGTTAGTAGGTGCCATTTTCTGAATTTAAAAATAGACTGCATGTGTTGCATAAAATGCCTTTGGGCAGGAGAGGAGGGGGCTATCTGGTTGACACGGAGCATAAGAAAAAATCTGAAGTATGCTAGAGCTAAATATACTGATAAGCATGCAGCTATGGGGCAGAATGAGCTAAAATGTATTGAGTTTAGTCTTATTAGCACATTAATGCCAGCAGAACGGTCTTACCCAACCTTTTATTTCAGAAATAATCACCATTTTGCTGTGAAGACAACTCAGACCTTGTAGCGTGTGCAAACAAAGGAAATATTTCTTTAGAGCCTCGTTACGCAGGGCGATGGTGGTTTGCTCTTTGTTCTGCCAGCCGTCTGCAGCGCTGGTGCAGAAAATGGACGCTGGAATGTTTAAATAAACTTCAGACGCTGTAGCCACACAAAATGTTTTGAACCGATTCTCCTTTTCAAAAGTAAGTCTGAAGCAGATGTAAATGAGCGTGGCTGGGCTTTTCGCGATGGCTCAAGGTGATACACCTTGGGCTGCGAGGCTGCGCCGCTTCCTTCGGATTAGTTCATCATCATGGGGAAAGGTGTGAGATCGTTGCAGGCTTAAGAATATGATCGCTGCGGCAGGAGGCCCTTGCCGAAGGGGCAAGGTTGGCCTGTGTGTTTATCCCCCAGTTACTTCTGAGTTGGTGAGATCTGTTGCGACAAGCTAGTGAAAAAAATCCTAGGAGGATTATCAGAAAGGTAACATGTTTTTCTGTCGCTGTAATTAAGCTGGCAATAGAGTGGTAGTCTTCAACTCATTTATAGGCTGTGCATTTTAAAATTTCTTGGCAACGTAGTTTAAAATATAAGTGATTCACGGACAGGAATGTGATCACGTTAATACTGTTCAGGCAAATGCAGCTTGCCTTCGGCTGGCCGTGTACCCGGGGGGGCTGCCCTGCGTAGCGGGGAGCTGGAAGGAGGTGGGTGGGCAGGCGCTGTCTGCATGCGGTGCGATGCTCGGGTGTGTGCGGAGATCCTCCACGGCAGCCGAGAGGGCGCTGGGGGGTCCCAGCAGGTGCAACGCAGGCTTGCTTCTCGTGTGTGCGGTTACGTGTACTGAGCCTGGCGTAATGGCAGAGGAGCTGTTGTTGCTGGTGCCCACTAAGAAAGGTTTGAGAGGGCAGCAGAGGACAGAGATTGGAATGGGAAGGCTTGAGGTCCTCCTGCGTAGCTGCTGCCCCTGTGCGAGGGCTGCGTGCTGCCAGATGGATGCTGCGGAGACTGGAGTCTCTTCCAAGGATGGTGCGTTTCTGAGGAATAAACTCACCTTAAAAGTAGTCTGGAACCTTTCATAGGGTCTTGGAAGACTGGAGACCAACTCCTGTTAGCAGGGAACGAGGCTTTGGCAGGTAGTGCCTGTAGGTGTGGGCGTGGTTGGGTGTAATTTCGTTTAATTCACTGGATTTGCATCCACTACTTTCAGCACTGGATTTGACTCTGTTCAGGTAGCGATGGTTTGTAGACATTTGGAGACTTCTTTATAGTAATGCTAGAGATTGGTTATTGGGTTTGGAGGGTTTGCTTATTTTATTTTGTGACTGCTTGGACCTAGAGAGTTCTTCGTATGACCCAGGAAGGAGGTTCGGAAACAAGCCCTTGGCTAAGCTCTCTAAAGTGTTTCTGTCTGTCCAAGTCACTTTTAGGTTCTTTCACTTATTTAATAGGGTTCAAATATAAAAATCAGAGAGAGCGCTGAGGTTGGTTAGCGGCGTCAGCAATACTAATCAAACATAATTCAACCGACTGTCATGTAAAGGAAGGTAAGATAAGGTAGGGGGAGAAGGCGGCAAGTCACTTCAAAAGAGCTCCTCTGAAACTCAGCTCTGCTCTAATCTGCCTTTCAAATCTGGCTTCTCCTGCCCTCATAGAATGAATCAACCTGACATTTTAGCAATTTTTTAAAAGAAAAGGGGTGAAGTGTTTAGAATGCATCAAAGGGGTGAAGCGGAGAACAGCTGAAGAAGATCATCTTTTATCTGATACCCTCTCTCTTCATGGCAGAGGAGCAAAAGTAGGTTAGGTCTTTGTCCCCGCTTTTCACTTTATGAAGTTTTGTATTGTTTTTCTGTGAAACATGTTCTAGTCAAGAAGGTTTTATTGCAGGAATTACTGTACATAATCAAAGATGCTGAATATGAAAATTATGTGATTTATCAGAAGGATGTGGTCTTTTGCCCTTCCTGCTACATACTGTACGTATCCTTTTCACTCTGAAAATAATTCTGTTCTAAGGTAGACCAACAACAGGTTTTGAGCAGATATGGAGATATACCCACATGCATTTATATAAGTATATGCATATATGTATGTATGTAGTATCTAGGGTCAGAAGTACAGCAGAGATGTTTTCATTAAGTCAGTCCAACTGTTGTAAATGTAGAGAAGCTGGCAGAAAAGAATTAAGCCTATTTTCTCTGAAAGTTGTAGGGTGGACTCAAAGAATCTGACTTTTTCCTTTCCAAGTCTCTCTTTAGTGCGGAACTGCCTTGGAATGGTTGTCTTAAAAAAGCTCAGTACGAGCCTATTTACCTTGCACTGGTATTGATGTTAGAAGTCTTACAGATTTCTTGAGGAGCAGAGTTAGGGCAGTGCTGAGTCCATCCAGAAAAGTCTCTATTTTGGGTTGTCCTTGCTGCTGCTATTGAGCTGTAGAAGCTGACTTACATGTTTCTGAGAGAGACAATTCTTTATTACTGGCTTGTCTAGACTTTGAAAGAGCCAAAAGGTGCGAATGCTTTTTATAATGTGTTAATAACTTTCCTTCCAGTATGATATGGAAGTGTTTCATTTCAGGATTCCCTACAAGTATAGTTTGAGCCATTGGATGCAACCCCCCACCCCGCAAAAAAACCCCACCCCCCCTTATTTTATACAGAATGGCAGTCATTTGAGTTGAATTGTTAAAGAAAATAACATGACTTAATGTATTTTAACTTCAAGCAAACTATTAATGTTTATTTTTTGATACTTTCCAGAGACGCACGGAATCACATTTAGAATTCAAATCAGCGTGAAAGAACTGCTGGATACAGATGTACTTTTAAAGCTGATATTTCATTTGCCAGTCAATTATCCATCAACTCTGCCAGATATTTCCGTTAACTCAGACCAGCTTACAAGGGCCCAATGTATGGACGTGAAAGATAAATTACTTGAACAAGCAAAGAAGCATCTTTCTGAACCCATGGTACACGATCTGATTCTTTGGGTACAGCAGCATCTTAAATATGTCATTAAGCAATCAGCAACAGTTTCCAGTGAAAAAACTGCTTTGTCAAAAGGAACAAGTATAGAGGATGGTACCTGGATGCTTCTTTTGCATTTAGATCACATGAGAGCAAAGGCAAAATACGTCAAAACTGTGGAAAAATGGGCTTCAGATCTAAGGCTGACTGGAAGACTGATGTTCATGGGCAAGATAATATTGATTCTTCTTCAGGGTGACAGGAGCAACATTAAGGTGCAGGAACAATGAATGTTGACTAGTTCTATCGATTCACCACTGAAACCTATGTGTCTGAATATTTTGTGTGTGTTTTTCTAAGATGAACAATTTTGGAAGCAGATTGATCATTAGGAGAGTAGAAAGGCCCAACAACTTTATTCTGTATTTAAGAAAAAGGAGGTATTCTATGGGAAAGAAACTGGTGATACCTGTAGACCTGTGGCCTGTATTGCTTTGCTTCCACTGTAATTATACCCCTGTATTCCCTGTGTTTCCTGACGGTAATATGCCTAGGTTCAGTCTCCTGTATTTCCCAAATGCCCCAGAAAACAGAAAATTTGCGATGAGACATTAATAACTGATATATTTCTAGCTCATTACTAACTGTCTCTTTCCTTGACTTAGACCACATGGCGCTCCTAGCGCACGCCTGGGCTTTGAACTTCTTGCCTGTACTTATGAACTCCCGCTGCGTTAGGCAGGTTTTTGCGGTGATATTGGAGGAGAATGTTTCGGCTTTTCAGACTCACGTTCTCTAGATCACTTAGGAATAGAAACAGTCATGCACGTTTTGGGATGGGCGCTTTCAAAATTTGATCGCTGTGTTCCGAAAAAGTCTGTATGTTTCGTACAGGTTTTTGCATTTTACTGAACTTCAAAGATACTAGATGACATTTAATATTTTGTTCTTTTTTGTCATTTAGGAGTACTTGATTCTTCAGAAAACTTCTAAGGTAGATGTGGACTCAAGCGGAAAGAAATGCAAGGAGAAAATGATTAGTGTACTGTGTGAGACAAAAGTACAGTCACAGCATAAAAGGTATAATTTAGTGCTGTTGTGGATAGAAAAGTAACGGAATCGGTAATTACATTCTGACAAATCTGGGCATATTCATGAGTTTCCCTTTTACAATGTAGGTTTCAGACGTTTGAAGTCAAAGAATATTCAACGCTGGATGAGCTACAAAAGGAATTTGAAACTGCAGGACTTACAACTCTCTTCTCTGAGTTTGTGCCTCCTCTCTTAAAATAAAATGAAAAGAAAACACTGGACTCTTTGACCAAAGCAGTAGCTGACTGCAGATGCCAATGGCAGATAAAAGGACTCATTTGGCAAACAAGGTTAAAGCATTTCTGTAAAAAATGCCAGAAATAGCCATCCTCTTGCAAGAGGGAGAAGGCAATCAATACATTAAGAATTGATAATTTTTTGACATTTATGTATTGATAACTTTTTCCAAGGAATGTGGAGTTAATTATAATAATTGCACGGCAAGCATGAGAGATTGGGAAGAAATCATGTTAAAATAATAGTCTTGTATTAGACTCTGTTTTGCAATCCCTGTTTTTCATTGTTTTGGTTTTTATCTCTCATGGTAGTGGTTTTTCATACTGGCCTGCTAGAAAGCATGATTAATTTTGCTTGGAAAGCTTATGTGAAGATATTTCTATAAAAAGAATAGCAAACACAGATTTGAATATGTGATGACAGCATATATTTAATATCCCTTAGGTGTTCATCTGCTAACTTTTCCTTCTCCATTTATTTGACTATAAATGCTAGACTGTTCATTTAAAGAAAAAGTTCATGTCACTTGGGGCCTGAAAAAAACATAGAAGTGTCCTTTTGAATGTTAGTTTTTACTCTAAAATGTATAAAAACACCCAAGTGGAGAATTGAAATCATTAAAAAGCTAAGGTGGAGCCAATTGTAATATTTTATTTGATAGTTTACAGATTCCTTTTTGCACTTTATCTGGTTTTACTGTCTGTGCAAATTTAGATATCTTGATTCAATTAAACTGTCAGAGCAGTATATATACAGACTTCAGTCTTCTGTCTGTCAAGACTTCTGTCAAGTCTTCTGTCATTTTAGAAGCTGGTAAGTTATAACTCCCTTATTAAAATTTCCCTGCCTTTGGTATTTTAGTTTTTTGATTGGTCAGTGGCCTTGGCCAGCTTATAAACTTTTTTATCACTAGTCTGTGTTTTACTTCAGTATAATGCTAGAAATTATATACATCATTTTTACAAATTAAGTTATGCAAGTTCTGTTTGCCTAGGGAGAATTGGATACTTACAGTTATTAATGTTCTTTGGTTTCTGTTTTACCTGATACCGTTCTCTAGCAAGACTAGGTAAGTTGTCCAGTAGTAAAGATTTTGAAGTCATGAGTTTCTCAGTGACTAGCAATGCCATTTCAATTGGTTTTAGCATGTAGCTAAACACGTACTTCACTTCTCTCTAAAACTCAATCCCAGCAGCCAAATGGCTCATGTATTCTTTGTTAACTGGATAGATTTGATCAATTCAGTGTAAATTAAATTCTCCTCATTGTACTGGGGGAAGACTGGTACAATTTGGTTAGTTCCCAAAGTGTGGTTTGGTGAATCGTTACGTAAGACAAAATTTTGATTGCCAGTTTCATACTCAGACCATGGAATCGTACCTCTTTCTTTATGTATACTAGAAAAGCAACTAAAGCAAACTACTAAGATTTTTTGAGTATTTGAGATATCAAATGCATAGAGGATTGTAGACTATGTGAGAGTTTCTGAAGTTTTTAAGGAGTTTGGTCATTTTCCTAACACAGAGGGTCTCAAATACGTGTGTTGCATGTTATTTTATGGACCAAGGCTTATTTAATGAGACAGTAGCAAAAGCTCTTCTTAACGAGTCTTTCATGTGTAGCACATGTAGTACTTCAGGCACAGTAGAAAACAGACTGGGTTAAACAGGTTTTATGAATCTGTTCTATATTATTTTGAAATGGCTTCCTGAGAGAAAAGAAATCTCATCTTCTACCATTTTAAGTGTATGCGAAGATGGATTTTTACTTTTATAAAGAAGAATAAAACACAAGTATCTTTAAAATATTAAAATAACATGTATTTTAAATTACAGTTTTCAGAATCGAGCTATTCCCAGTTAAAATATCTATGTTAACAAATTGTGTGTCAGTGGAGTACAAAGTCTTGAAAAGACGCAGAGGCTCTCTCCTTACACTGCGCGATAGATCTGGCGGTATCAAAACCAAGAAGAGGCCTATGGCGTGTACAGCTTAAGAAAGCATGATCCAGTATCTCTCTGCAAATCTAAATGTTGTAAGGTTTTGCCAGATGGATTTTATGTCCTCAGCCAGCTCTTTACTTCAAAATGCTTCACTTGGCGGGAAAGAGAATAGTACGGTACTTCAGCACAACCTGTATCACAATCTTGACCATTAAAGCCTAGCTGGGGCCTTATCCCACATGCGTATAAATCTGTTGTACGTCCTTTCTGTTGTTTTTGGGAATTGGCTTGAATAGTGCACCTAACCATGCGATCTTAAATTGCATGTGACTGCAAAAATAAATGAGGCATACAGTTGTTGTGGTCATCTTTCTTGCAAGATTAGAGGCAGACTATCCAACTTTTTCCTCCCTACTATAAAAGCTACTGTAATTAGCTGCGTAAGGAAAGCCATTTGTAGGGGCAGTGGTTGCCAGTTGCACTTGGATAGAAACTCATGTATTTTCTTGAATATTATTGCTTGATGCCTTCTTGGTTAACTATTTGGTCAGAGCTAGCATTCTGCAACAGCTAATTTAAAAAAGTAAAGTTAAAGAACAAATGACAGTTGGGTAAGTTGCTGCTCTCTTCTGCTCTGTGCTCATCTTCTTGCCAAATGAAGTTGTTGTAAGGAGCTAGATGGTTTCTGTATTTCAGGAGTTGTAAAAAGCAGTTTGTACAATGGATTTGTATCATAGTTGAATTTGTTACTCGCTAACTTATGTGGGACAAATCAACAAGTCCAGTGTAGGAAAGGACTGCAGGTTTTTTTGCTTGGTTTGATGTGCTGCAGAAGAATTACAAATCTGATCAGCTTGGTACTGTTCAGACAGCAGAGAACATGAAAGCTGATGTCAGTCTGATTCTGTCAAAGCAAATGCTTTTGCCTACCCATCAATCAGTCACTTATTTTGAAGGGTAGGAGGATATCTTGTGTTCAGACAAGTAAACAATATTTTTAAAGGTTGGTCTTTTGGAAGGATGTTGCAGCTGTCTGTTAACTGATGGTTTGTTTGCATTTATTGTAAAAAGAGATGGGCAAGCCTGTGAGCCCTTGGGGCACAGAAGTCATCGAAATGCATACTGTGGTGCATGTTCCGCCCTCCAAGGGAACTGAAGCAGGCGCAGGAGAACAAAACGCAGGGAAACGAAGTCAAAGCTGCTGGGAATCGTTACAGAATGCATATCAGTGTCCAAAAAGTTAGTGAAGTGTGTACAGCTAGAAGAATCAGACAATGCAATTGCAAGGAAAAAGAAATCCACAAAGCAAAAAATGGTTTAACAAATAAGCAGCTCGCTTTCTTGTGGGTATTGTATTATAAATAGTTCTTCAAACAGTGTGGTTAGTAAAGCCTCGTTTCGTGTGGGCTTTCTCGTGTCTGAAAAATTGCCTGTCTTGCAGAAGGGACATTCGTGATGGTGCTCTCCCAGGTGGGTTCCCCAATGCCCGATACCGATTGTGCTCTCTGCGTAAATCATTAAAGTATCAATAGTATTTTTCTCTGCTATTTATTTTCTTCTTTGTTTTCACCAAAGCTGTAGGAACTTGGTTTCTTTCAGGCCGTTAACCGCTCGTTTTAATTGAAATTAGTTGAATTCAAAAGTTCTAGAAGAATTTTGTAGTATAAATCTGCTTGCTTCTGTACAGACAGCACAGCCGCATAACCATGGTTTCCTTTGAAAATCAGGCTAAAATGAAAGCTGTTGCAATAGGACTGACTACTTGAAGAATCGAGTTTTAGGACAAAACTGAGGTTTGGTTGGGCCTTTTGAATCCCTTGGCTTATTAAGTGTGAAATGGATTGAGAATGAAAGCAAGCTACATAGAAATAGGAGCAAAACCCCAAACTTGACATCAGCCCTGTTTGCACCGTTGTTTTTGCATGGAGTATGTCGCATCCAAAGCATCCTTTCTCACCCTGAAGAGACGTGCGTGATCCGCAGAAGGGCGTGCGAACCCATGGTTGAATGAATGCCTTGGGCGGGCATCTGCCAGTCTCTGGAAGAGATGGCGCTGGCCGTGTTGGGCGGGTTTGCTGGCGAACGGCATGCACTCACTTTTTCCGCTCCTTTCATACGATTTGTGAATGTCGTATGCCTGTGTTTTCTGTGGTACGAGAAGGAGGATGGTCTGGTCATCTGAGGAGCACTTCTCTCTCATTACCCTTTGTGCAGCGAGTGTAAATTGAAGTAACCAAAAGGGCAGCGTGAGATCCAGATAATTTTTACTATTACATGTAACATCAGGTCTTGCTACATAATTATGCTACTACTATGGCAGAGTAGTGATGTCTGTGGAAACAAGGGCATTAGAGTGCTACCAGATTAAATTACTCAATTCTGCAAGAAATCAATCTTTCTACAGTTTTGTTTTTTAGAATCGTTACTGACCGCCATTGTGACCGAGGTCTGTATATAAAACCATCTCTGTCTTGGTAAAGGGAGGAGCAGGAGTAAAACTCCCTTCTTTTCTGTATTAATCTTTGGCATTATTTATAGCATTAATATGTAGTATTTATATTTAAGGGGTTTTATTATCGTCTCTTGGAAAGAAACCTTTATGAGCAGCACATACTGTGAAGTAGCCTACTATTCAGGAGAATAGCATGACTTCAGTGGAAGTAATGCCAAGTTCTGGAGGAGGGAAATACTTTTAACGGGGGACATCGTCAGTATTGGGAATTCATCAGCTTTTTTTACTTACTCAGTCTCATTAAGGTTATAA